TGTTTTTCTGTGGATTTTCTCCCTTCGCCCTGCTATCCTGAAGAAGTAAATTATCTTTCAGTATGTATGCGTGTGTGTGTGTGTGTGTGTGTGTGTGTGTGTGTATTTCATATAAATGATGAATAGATGCAGAATAGGCTTGGAGAAAGCACCAGCACATGAAATTTCTAGGAGAATGTTAAACACAGTTACCAAAAAAAAAAAAAAACCCAAAAAAGGGAAAGCACATTTTAAGGACACTGGAAGTGATTGTATGTCAGGATTGTATGAGTTAGGTGCTAAGAAATCAATCCACCTATTTATTTAATCTATCCAGTCTGAAGAAATAGCCTTAGCAACCTCAAATTACGGCTTGGTCTCCACCAACAGCCGCCTCCCCTGGAGGCTGATAGAGTCGCTAGTCCCTGTTGATCAAACGTCTCAGCCTTGGCGACATTACAGACGGGCTCGACGCCGCCTTCCGCAAGATGCTTTTTAAAGGAAATCTCCCCTTCTTGCCGGTAGCTTTGAAAGACCCTGGGGGATCTCCTCTCCAAGTACTAACCAGGCCCAAGCAAACTTTGTTTTTGCCAGGATCGGCTGGGGGTTGCCTTTGCCACCCGTAAGCGGTTTCCAAAAGCGGTGATAAATAGGTGGCTCCCTAGAAACTTAAATCTGGTGCGAGGCCTCTTCCAAAGACACACTCGTAATAGGTCTTAGCTGCTGGTCAAGCCTCTGTTCCTAATTTGGCCTGAACCTCGTTTAAAAGTGGGTTGAAGACCAGTAGGGTCTGTATCACCCCCTCCCAGATGTTCGTCCCCCCCAGTGATGCTACCAAATTGCAACCTCATTAAAGATACGGGGAGACGATTCTGTTAACTCTCTCTATGTAACTTAACGTTTCACTTTGGGGTTTGCCTTGATCCTGCCTGATTTGGGGGGGTTCTCAGGCTCGGTCAAAGACCTGACATGACCCCGAGGCGACAGGAAATTGGCCACCGCTGCATCGCCATCCTTTGAACCGACTTGCCTTCCAAAAACAAAATACCCGCACGAAGGAGTTTTTGCCACCCGTTCTCTCTCTCTCTCTCTCTCAATTGCATCCTCTGTTTTGCTTTTTTTTTTTAACCTCTGCACTTTGGGGAGGCAGCTCTCTAGCGCTTTCCCTGCAATGTTCTTTGAGTATAACGGGATGGGTTTCAGGTTGCTGCTGCTGCTGCTGCTGGGCTCTGTAATGCTATTTTTCTCTTACGGTTTTTGGATGAGCGAGAGGGTGCCTGGCCATCGCTCCCTGAGTCGCTCCGGTTTCTTTCCGTGCTTCGACGTTTGTTTTTTTCAAATGCATGCGTTTGGATTTTACAGGGTTTATTTCCTCTCCCCCACCCCCTTCTCTTCTCCACCCTGCAAAGAAAAACCTGGTTTGGTCTAGGCACCCAGCAAATGAAATGACCGCAGGGCGCTTGTGGAACACGAGCTGGGTCCTCCGCGGTGCAAAAGCGACCGCCGGCTTTCCAGGCTGATCTTCGCTGGAGGAGAGCTTGATAGCACATGATTCCCACCCTCCCCCTCCATTTATTTTTTCTTTCCACCTCTCTCCGCCAAAAGGAGTTTCCAGCAGAAATGGAAAACTATTTATATTTAGACAAGGACTCTGGGTGCTTTTATGATTTGGAAGACTCTCTCTAATAACGAACTTGGTTGTTGGTTTTCAATAAAAGAAGCCCCCGATCTAGTTTCTGTTTTTGTGGCGTTCTTGAAAAAGCGTGGTGCTCTTTTTCTTTTTCCTGCAGAAAATTTCAACAGAAATGGAGGGGTTGGATTTCTGTAGCGCGCTAAGTAAGGCTGCGCAAAAGCTTTGATTTTCTGAGATTTATGGAGTGTTCAGTCGGATCTTGAAACCCAGGCAGCTTCCTGAATTGGATTAAACAGTCTGGATCAGATCAAACAGGATGCCTTCAAATGGATTTGACAGTTATGTGCACATCTAAGGCTTCTCTAACCAATTGGCCAAACTCAATGATCTCCATTTGATGCTGGAAAAAGATTTTCTGCATCGATTTGAATCTCAGCCCATTTACGTTCCCGTTATATTAAGCAAAAGCCAGAGAAAATGCATGATGTTTCTGCTCTTTGTAGTCCTGTTTTAGGTACTGGGGGTGGGGGGGTTGCTTTTATTGTTTGAGTAGAAGAAACAAAAATAGTGTACAAAAAACACTAAAAGATAGAAGGCATAAATTCATGGATGTGTGTATCAAGGTTCTCTGTGCTTCAATGAATGGTAGCCATATTATCATCCATAGCCAATCTCCATTGATAAGTCATTTGCAGATTACTGAGAACATCAATTCTGCAGATCATTGAGTAATTCAGCCCACATCTTTATCTTTGGAGTGCTGAAGAATAAATCATCTATAAGTAGGGCATCGAGAATCCAGTTTCTTTATCCAGAGGTCAACTTCCATGCAACAGGAATGTAGTTCAAAAGAATATGACCGTCTGAAAATATTAAATCTTGTGTCAAATTGAGTTAATATGTACTTCCCAAATGGAACAAGTATGGGCTACTGTACAATGTGTCTAAATGAAGCAATTTGCTACCAAGATTCTCAACATTTGCCTATATTCTTGGGGCAGTGGAGGGGCCAGCAATCTGTTGACCCAACAGTCTTTGGTTAGATTTTTGCAAACTCTTCTCTTTCTCCCTCTATTGTCCTTCGGCTGCTTGAGAAATTCTAATATCCTTTTTGATGTCATTGCCTGAAGGAAGGGGGGAAAATGGATGCCTTTTAAACATGGTGTTGGGGGAAAAATTGAGAACCACTTAGATTGCAAGGTGAATGAATAATTCAGTATCAGATGAAGGGAAACCAGACTGCTCAATGAAATAATTAATTGCGAGGCGAAAGCTTAAGTATTTTGGATGGGTAAGGTAAAGGCAAGATCCTTTGGAGTGTTTTGGGAGTTTGGAAAAATTGAAGGCAATCAGAAAGGAAGCTGAAAGGAAATGAAGTGGCTAGATGTTTTCGCTGATGACACCAGCAGGAGCTTACAAGAATTTGAAGCTGTTTCTGATGGACAATCCAGGCTAATGATGTTTGTTGGGTCATGAAGAGTCGGAAGCAACTGAACAACAAATTTCATCTAAGCTTTCTGCATTTGGCATTGTCCTCTCCCTTAATCCTTTTATTCCTAAGGAAGACATATAGCCTGTTGCTTTTTAAAAATAAAACTGCTAGCAATTCAGATCCAATGCTTGCAGGATACTTATGGGTAAATGTCATAAATGCCACTAGAGGAAAGCTAGGAAAATATAATGCTTTGCAGAACAATATCTGCTGAATTCCCGTGAGCTGAAGTTTTGCTTCAGCAGTCTTCCAAACAAGGATTGATCTATGCATATTGCAAAAATATGTCTGTACCAACACTGATCAGAAAAGGAAGTTTTCTTTGGCTCACTG